AAAGTCATGTCTTTGCAGGTGTTGCTGCAGTGCAACCACCACACCTCAATCTGAGCTGTTTCCTTGCCTTTTCCAACAGGAGTAATAGTTTGCCTTCCTGGTGTTGCTAAAGGCTGCATTTTCTTAGTCTTCTCAACTCTAACTTGACATCCTATTTATCTGCAACCATTATAAAATGAGAAACAACTAACTAAACTGCTTATCTAATTAAATATTCTGTTTTGTGATTTGATTTAATTTGATTTATTTAACAGGAAAAGATTATTAAAAATCAAGCCTGACTCAGCATAATTACTGTTTTACAGCAGGTTCCTGTTCTGCAGCACATAAAACACTCAGAATTACAGCATCACAATCACATCATTATACACCATAGACACAAAGACAAACAAGCRTACCAAATTTCAGGAAGGCAGCATTTGCAAAATAAGACATAGACGTTRTTGAGATCATTCATTATATTGTTTAAAGGGCGTGAACTGGTAGCTAAATGCTAATATTTTAGATGCACACAAATTTATCTCATAGACTAATTTGAGATTTCCGCAAAGCTCATGGTGCCCCGACTTTTGCCTGGAGCTTCTCCCTTTTTTCCCCACTCTGAAACCAAGAAGTAAAAAAATGTTGATCTTGATTAAAATATGTTTAAGCCTTTTTAACCAGGCAGTGTCCAAATGTMTGCATGTCACTTTAAGAGTCCAGTTCAGATTAATATATTTTTTGTTGAGGCTTTTTGATCCTTTTAGCTGCATGGTGAAATTCTACTAAAATATGCACAAAAGCAGCTACTGAAGGATGTAGACACACATAAACACACACATAAACACACACAMACAYGAGAGGGAAGATAATGGCCGAGCCAGCGACAGTCAGATAGAGGCAGTACCGGTAATTAATTTCAGCTCTTTCCTCTCTTACTCTAAACTCCCGTTCCCTGTAGACGAGACCTATTGTTGTCCACTAATACAGTTATTAATGGGGGCCAGCGCACAGGCCACCACAGTCAATCAAACGTTATTTTTTATTAAGCTCTCCATCTACACATACAAGACTATCTTGGGCCCGTCTGTGGGAGCAGGACACAAAAGGAGTGTGTGTGTATTTTTAAGCGTGCATCTATTGAGCCGACTTTGGCAGAGTCCGTTTCTGTATATTTATGCTGCTGGGCGGACAGTTAGTTGGCTATTGAGTTTATAACTTGAGTTTTGAAAGCATGAGCTAAGACTAAATGCAATAAAGCCATCTGAGTCATAGGAGATGTGTGTTAGCATAACACATCTGAGTACAGTGGAATAAGCAGGATTGGAGAACTGTGTTAAAAAAAAGAAAAGAAACAGGCTTATGTGACGGATTGAAGAGTTGTGGCCTTATTTCACAGCATCTTTGGGGAAATATCTGCTGATGTAATACAGTCAGTTTGGCTGTTAGGAGTGCGCTACAGACACAAAGCGTTCAATTCATCCGGAAATACAAGAACCCTGGCAACAAACACAATAATATTTTACAAGAAGTTTTCTGTTTTCTTTTTTTCTAAGAGTAGTTTTCTTTTCCTGCCAGATTGGTTTCATGAAACTAATCTGGCAGATGGGAATCAAGCAAACAGCAATCCTATAAGTCATTTTAAAAAGCTCTGAGTGATTCGATCTAAATTACTTTAAACCTGATAAAACCCAGAGCAGAAAGCAAATGCTTAAATCCTAAATTGTTTCAACAACATGGTGAACAACTTAATTGAGGTGATATATCAAACGTAATCGCTCCACACTCCGTGCTCAAGGCTTTGAAAGTAAAATTATGTGTTCGTTGACTAATGAGTATTTGCATTTTTATTATTCAGGGCCAYATTTTTGTAATCGCTCAGCCCTAAAGTCTAATTTAAGAGGATATTTGTTCCAGTTCAGTTACGAGCTGCACAATATTGTGATAAATTGGTATCTTTATCGCAATATTATTGGTAAATATTGAAGTAGTAAAACCATTTTCACCAAACCCACTTTTTTTTCTTTGTTATTGTTTTTTTTTCTCTAAGAAGCTCACGTGCACAATATTAGGAAGACACAGGGTTGCACAATTATTTGGTAAATAACATAAAATCTGTTGTGATAAATCAACATTTCCCTTAAGTCAATTTTTTCTTTCATCATGATGCTAATAACACTGTTCACAGCTGTTCAAAATGTTCACTCATTCACCATGTAGTTCACTACACAGTGAGTGGTTCTGTTAGAAATATTTACTGGAATTTTTAATCCACTACATGGCTCTGGAGAAACCTGTCATGTGCTTCTATATAAGTAGTGTAGAGAAAAGTACATCAGTGGAAATAGACTATAATACATTGTGGCACATAAAGCTGATGTCTTCAGCACATTATTGTAATTTTCTGACTTGTTGAAAATGCCAATAATTATACAGCAGCATCTGATATAAAGAGTCCCTCTTATCCTCTGTCTGTGCTGCAGAGTTTAAAGAAATATTAGAAGAATCTGAATGAAACTATATCAGATATATTAGATACTTTCCTAACAGTCAGAGATTTTAAATCAATTGCTAAAATTTAAAGAAAGAGCTCAAACAATGGGCCTCATGCAAGAACATGTTCGTATTCTTATCCTAAATTTCTCTTACTTTTGTTCGTAC